AGCTGTTTCACGGATTTATGCTGGTTTCTTTTCAAACGGTGGCTCTCGCCTTAGCGCCGCGCACACTCGTCTTAAACCTTCGACATTGAAGCAAGAGTTCCACTGATTTTCGTGGTCAACGTGCCAGAAGTGGTGTTTTGGAACGGTTCAGGATATGTCAGTGTGCAGCAGTTGCGTTGATTCGCGGTGTTGAAGTCCCACGTTTGGTGCTCTGGCGCGATCCAGGATCGTCAATACGCAGCAGTCAGATTGATGATTACTGTTGGAATCCCGAGAATTGTGTTGTGGCACGCTTTTGGATCTTCAAACGATTGTCTCCCGACGGGGCCCTTCCTTCAGTGGAAATGAATTGTTATAGGGGCCTATGAAGAGGGCGCTTGGAGGGATGGTTTATTCCAACATCGTTGCTGAGTCTTGGGTTTACACTGGTCCTCCTCCCTCCTCCTCCCTCCTCCTCCCTCCCTCCTCATCCTCCTCCCTCCTCCTCCCTCCTCCTCCTCCTCCTCCTCCTCCTCCTCCTCCTCCTCCTCCTCCTCCTCCTCCTCCTCCTCCTCCTCCTCTCCCTACTCCTCCCCCTCCCCCCCAGGGAGCAACGACCAAGATCCACCTCCTTTTGCTTTTCTCCCTTCTCCCCCTCTTCCCCCCCTCTCCCCCCTCCCCTCGTACTTCTTTCATGGCTTGCGGCAAACCCAGTCGCCGTGCGAGCACGGATGCTCCCAGAAGCTTCCGAGGCTCTCCAAGGAGCTCCCCCCGAGTCTCGATCCTGATGCTCCTCTTTCCTCCGGGGAGGGAGGGGCAGATCTAGGACGGGCCGGCCGTCGTGTTTTTTTTCGCGACGGCTGAAGCTCTGGGTCGGCCCGTTCATGTTTGCTCAGAGTCAGTCCCAGGACCCCTCCTCGACGCTACACCGAGCTGCGCCCAGCCGTGGCGACGAGGGTCCAGTAATTATCCAGATGCCCCGCAGCCTGCGTCAGAGGCAACGCCGATACCTGAAGGAGGAACTGGAGGAGGAAGAGGATAAGGAGGAGCAGGAGCAGGAGGAGGAGCAGGAGGAGGAGGAGGAGGTGGTGGTGGCGGCGGCGGAGGAAGAGGAGTGGAAGATAGAAAGAGAGAGAGAGAGAGAGAGAGAGGGAGAGACTGAGAAGTGAAGTGAAGATGCGAAGACGCCTGCGGCGAACCACCGCTATCTCCAGCCTTGTGGACACGCCCCTGTCGCCAAAGGTCGGGCCGAAGTCTTGCCAAGCTATTGGACTACGTGTTCCCCGAGCCATTTTGGAGACCCTTGGGGGAACACTTGTGGAAGGACGAGGGAGGAGGAGGGGCGGAAGGAGGAGAGGGAGGAGGAATATTCCTGGGGTACCCTTGGGGCCGCGCCGGAGTCCTGGGGGACTTGGTGAGGCCTCTTGGGGGCTTCCTCAGGCCTCTCGGGTGCCTCTGGAGGCTCCTTGGGAGGCTCTTTGGCTGTCTCAGGGCATTCCTGGCCCGTCTTACGCCGTCGGAAGCCGTCTTGAGTGCGTCTCGGGACGAACTTCGGGCCCTTTTCGGGCGCTTCGGGGCCGTCCTGGAGGCCATCTTGGTGGAGGCCTCTTAGGCCAACTGATTGTCTTCTTGGGGCCGTCTTGAGATGGGCCATCATGGGTCGGGCGCTCTCGGAGCGATCTTGAGGACCTCCTCGGTCGTCTGGCGCCGTCGGCAGGCCGAACAGTCGCATTTGCCAGCATCTTTCAAACTCCGACGGAAACAAAAGGATTTGGCGTCTTCGGGACTTCGGGAACACGTCTTCGAGGTTTCTGGGGCCGCCTTGGAGGCCTTTCTGGGGCCTCTTGGGCCGTCTTGGGCCATCTTTGGGCCATCCTTGGCCGTCCTGGGTGCATTTTGTGCCGTCTTGGCGACGTCTTGTGACCATCTCGGGTTCTCTTGGAGCTATATTAACCCTCTCGGAGGCCATCTTAGCCCATCTTGGAAGTCATCTTGAGGCCATATCGAGCAATAATGCCGATGGGAGCCTCCTTTTCCGGGTGGCCGGCGGGTTGGGCAGAGACCCCAGTGGGAACCTCTTCAAAAGAACAAACGAAGCCAAACATGTGTGTTGACACGCCCTGCACCACTGTGGCAAACCACTTGCTTGGGGCGGCCGATCGAAGACGCTTTCGGCGAATCGCCGCTGCACCCTGCCCTTTGGAAGCGCCTATGGCCGACCGTTGCGGCCAGAGCTCGGCGACGCCACATTTTGAATGCCACTCGCCCTCCATCCGTGATGCGCTTGCGAACTTTTGCAGCGAATGTGCGCGGCGCGAAGGTCAGAACCATATTTTGAACAGGAGCCGCCCTCCATCCGTGAAGCTGATGCAAACCTTTTAAGACGAAGCCGCGCGGCGCTAAGGCGAGAGCCACATTTTGAAAACCACCCGCCTACCATCAGTAGAAGTACTGCTTATTTTGGAGACGAAGGTGCGCGGCGCTAAGGCGATTGGCACACTTCGAAAGGGCATTGCCCTCCTATCCTTGAAGCTTCTGCGAACTTTAAGACGACTGTTCGCGGCGCTAAGGCGAGAGCCACGTTTTGAGAACCACCCGCCATCTATCGGTGAAGCTGCTGCAGAAGACTAATGCTCGCGGCTCTACGGCGAGAGCCACACCTTGAAAAGGACACGCCCTCCATCCGTGCGTATCTTGCATTTCTTTAAGACGAAGGTGCGCGGCCCTAGTGCGAGAGCCACACACTGAAAATCACCGGCCCTCCATCCGAGAAGATGTTGCAAACTTCTAAAACGAGTGTGCGCGGCGCGACTGCGAGAGTCACATTTTGGAAACCACCCGCCATCCATCCGTGAAGCTGTTGCGT